TAGAGTAAAGATCTTAATCTGAACAAATAAATTCAATCACAATGAAAAAGTTTCAAAAGGGAGGACTTCTACAGATTTCTCCATCACAAGTCCTCCAACTTGACCTCACCAGTCATCATTCACACTACAAAGCAGAAAAGAAAGAGATGTTGGGAGTAGAAGAAGCTCAAAATCAATCACACATGTGGAGCTAAGATAAGGCCAGCCCAAGAACAAAGGGAGATACCACAACCATTTAAACAAACTATTCCACAGACTTAATGCAATCCCTATCAAACTACCACCAACATACCTCCCAGACCTAGAGAAATAATTCCTAAAATTTATTTGGAAGCAGAAAAGACCTAGAAAAGCAAAGGCAATCCTGGGCAACAAAGACAAGACAGGAGGCATTACAATTCCTGACTTAAAATTATACTACAAGCCTACTGTGATAAAATCAGCATGTTACTGGCAACAAAATAGACTTGACGATCAATGGAATAGATTAGAAGACTTAGAAGCCTCTATGAACACACTCAGCCACCTTATCTTTGACAAAGGGGCCAAACATGCTCACTGGAAGAAAGACAGCCTCTTTAACAAATGGTGCTGGAAAAACTGGCTCTCTACATGCCAAAAACTAAAACTTGATCCAGGTCTATCACCATGCACTAAGCTAAAGTCAAAGTGGATTAAAGATCTAACATTAAACTAGAAACACAAAATCTCCTGGAAGAGAAAATAGGAGGATCCAAAGGGAGGTGGGGAACATGTGGAACATTTTCCTACTGGGACATGCATAATGTCTATATCTGAGTTCCTACTTGAGAAAGTAACATATTCCAAGGCTTGGCAAATGTGTGTGCACAACTGTCAAGAGATTTCCACCTTTGATCCCAGCACTCTTCTATTGCTAGAAACAAATATTAAGTAAGAAGTATTGGTTAAGGAAGAAGCCTTGCCCTCTCCATAGCCTACTTTGGCCTTCTTGGTTATCTGTAACTGGAGGGCCAACTTAATTGTCAAATTACCATTTTCTGGCAAGAAATTATTGGAAAAGTTCTGGGACAGAAGTAGACAACACAAATGTCATCTCCTATTCTGCAAGTCCTCTCATTGCCACTAGGAAACTTACATGTAAGGAAACCCAAAGATCTGACACTGGACCCCATCTGATCGCAACAATTGGCCCTCAGACACCCCCCCCCCCCAACTGCACAGGGAGTTGGGCTTCCTTCTGCTGCCTGCACCCAGCAGAGCAGCACTGTTCTCAGGATTGAGAGAGGCAGTCCAGTACCCACTCCGGGCCAAACCATGGGCAAGCATGATCCAGGGTAAGGGACTGAGAGGGTGGCCTTCAAACATACCTGTCATTGTATATGACAACTGCAAATAATAACTAATATCCCCACTTTCAGTAACCAAAGAGAGGAGAAGGCCAGAGATGGAGGAAAACCAGCCTGCATGGGAAGTCACCATAGAATCTGGCATGATGGAAATTGCTCAGAACATCAATATCAACTAAGGACTTTAGGGTCTCAGGACACCAGCTATCACTCCACCTTCTCTAATGAAGTTCCAAATATGAGGAGAAAAGTGAGTAGTCCTCTGCACATCAATACACAGAGGATGGAGAGAACTGGTCTCAGGATGTGTCCACTGGTAGCCTTCAAGATTCTCACACTGTCGGGCTCCTAAGCACAGGCATCTGGTCTTCACAGGCCTCTCTTTTGAGCTTTTGCTGCACACCCCACAGCAACATGCCAACCTTGCAATTTCTGTGTGACCACTCAATGACTCTAAAAAAGAAAAATCATTACTAATATTTAGGGCTCACCTGGGAGATTGTGTTCCTCTACCGCCTGGGTCCTTGTGAAGAGCAAGATGAGTCCCAAAAGGGATGAAAGTTACTGAGCTGTGTGAGATAACAGCACCACTTGCGCAGTAAGAAAATCATTGGTGTGGGAGGAGCTGCAAGTTATATATCCAAATTCTTTTTCCTTTTTTCAATGGGATTTCATTAAGGACAACAATTCAGCTTTGAAAGAGAACATTTCCCAGCTAGGTGAGGCCAAGTTTGCAAGTTCCATTCTATAACATGCAGGTAGAAGTTGTTGGGTGGAACTTACATAAAGGTGGTGGGCAGGAGCCAGATGGCTCCCAGATAAATAACAATTTGTTCCGAGATACATTGTTGGGAGCCGCGGCAAGGTAGGAAATTGATCAAATGTGTGTAGGTGGGACTGGACCTCAGTGACTAAAGCAAACAAGGTACTTCAGTCCTGAGAAAAACATCCTGTCTGGTTAAAGCCAGCTATTAGTCGCTAGGCAATCTTGTATCATGTGTTACAAACTTTACAAAAATATAACTAAAGGATCATTTTATTGTGTGGGGAGTTAGTTTTGCCCATCAGGCAGACTAGCAACCACCTAGCCCAGCTTTTATCTTCTTGTCTAACTTTCTCATTCCTGCCACAATGTCTCCCCAGGTAGAATCATTTAAGACCAACAGACTCCTACAGTACATGAGTGGACTGGTACCTGTAATGGGTTACTTGGATTTTGAACTCACTGAGGTCATTTTTCTACAAATTAGTAACAGGGTGCTCAAGATCACTCATTAGTTTAAAAATTACAGCCTTAAGCCCTCATGTCTGGGTAATTCCTCCTAAGACTGATGAGTTATTTTATAACTACCTTTAACAAACAGGACATACTATTTGTGTATTTTAAAGGTTAATAACCTCAGAATGTGTTAAATTGTAGTAACTAAGTCAGAGTTATTCATGTTAATGTATATGTACCTAAGACAATCGGCCCCTATATAATAGGTGATAATTAAGTGTAGGCCTGACTGCCTGTCCATCCTTGTAGGAATATAGCTAATGATTTATCTGGATATTGTACTCAATCTATTGTCCAGTTAACCTGTGAATTGTGCCTGTATGCTTCGGTAGGTTATAAATGATTAATTATAAAATATGTGTATGTGCTAAGTTGAGAGTAGTTTCCGTTTAAAACCCCTGTTTTCTGTTATTCGGCGCGCTTCCCTATCTTCTCTCCTGCGTGAGTAGAAGCCAGGAAGGCCCCGAGCTGGGTATTAAAGGCTCATTTTAAATTCTCAATTTGGACTCTGGTCTAGCTTCTGTTTCAGAACCCATAACAGCACCCAACTCTTAAGGATGAAGGTGCAGACAGTCTGAGTCCTGGCAGCAATTGCCTAACACTGTGGTATAAGAACAGATAAAACAATCCTACAGGTTTAGGGTATCGCAGTCCTGGCCTGTCAATGGCAGGCAGAACACCATTCAGCACTGTGGGAAGTACTGGACTTGTTTGGTGGTGAGGGATTCCACTTCTTGAAGGATTTCTCCTCAATACTGGGAGCCCGCTGAAGACCAAAGGCACAAAGGGCTGGTCTGAGAGCACTCGCAGGGCAGGAAAAGAAGAGCAGGAAGCCTCTGAGGGGCAGCACGCTAGAGTGGCCCTGCCCCAGTGGCTGCAGGATGCTCCTTGCTCCACCTCCTTTCCAGGCCTATCCCTCCCTTCAAGGTCCAGGTGAGGTCCTAGCCCGCGCGCATTTGGGAGCCAGGAGGGCAGCCAGCCCCTTGCGGGCGGCTCGGGCGGCCATTGGTCGGCGTGTGTCACGTGCGTAAGGAGGCGTTGCGATTGGCTGGCGGGCTGGAGGCTGGCGGAGGGGGCGCGGCCCACTGGTTCTCACTGGAGGGAGTCGGCCAGCGACCTTCTACGGTAGGGGTGGCGAGCTTCCGCAGTAGGTTCTTGTGGGGCGCTCAGAGCCAGGGCACAGATACCCTGCGGAGTTGGCAGGGAGGGCCGGGGTTGATCGCGCGTCAGCTTGGGGCCCCACTCAGGCCGGGTGCCGCACACCCTCGAGGGCCGGGCCTCGGGCCGCCTCGCGCTGCCTCCCTGCCTGCGCCCCAGGTGCCACCGACTGCCAGAGGTACTCGCAGGCCGCGGTTCCCAGAGCCAGAGGACGCGACTCGAGAGAAGCTGGGGATCCGCCGCCTGCCGCTGTGCGCTCCGCACGAAACCTCCACACTGATGTCTCTCTTCCCTCCCAGGTAGCGCCGGGTAAGTACTGCTGGGGCCTTGGAGTGCGGGGCCGCCTGTTCGGCTCCCTGCGGGGCCGGGATGCCAGAACCCCACGCCCAGGTCCAGAGCGCCCCTTGGCCCTGCTCAGGCTCAGACAAGTTGAATACCTGGGTTTAGTGAATGGTTCTAATTTTTTTCTAATTTTTTTTTTTTTTTCAATCCCCAGCGGAACCGGGGATTGAACTCAGGCACTTGCACTTGCCAGGGAAGCGCTTATTCCACTGAGCCATCTCCCCGCCCCAAAACTTTTTTTTTTTTTTTTTTTTTTTTTGCAGAACCAGGGATTGAACTCAGGCCCATGCACTTGCCAGGGAAGCGCTTAAAGACATTTAAAAGTTGCGGATTTGCATTTCCTTCATA